TTACGGTTTACACAAAAATAAATCAAAACATAAACCTCATAACACTCAGGAAAAGGGCCTAGGTTGATAGGGCAATGATTATAGAATCTTAATTATTTTTTATATCCATGATGAATGATTTCTTTTAAAACAAATTATTCCCAGTAAAATATTATTACAGCATTTCACAAAAATAGAACAGACTCAGTATAATCTAAATATGTAAAAGGCAAAGCCCTCACTGACTGACTCACTCACTCACTGACTCATCACTAATTCTTCCACGTCCCATTTACCTAGGAGGCTGAAATTTGGTACACCGATTCTTTGGGCATTAAATAGGAAAACTAAGAAGTTTTTATTCTGATCGGGCTTTCGGGCTCCGCTCCAGTGGCTCTGGAGTTTCCCATGATAACCTTATGATTTTTCATATTCAAAAGGAATTTCTTAACAGCTGTTTCAATTAAACAAGTTGGTTCTGTTCTATTATGTTCAATAGCATTAAAGTTACAAGGATTACCAACAGGGTGCAGCACTATTATTTTTAGCGAATTTCCCTATAGGGAAGTAGCTATTACCGTAGGTCTCATGGTAAGACTTAGGCCTGGGACCGATTTACTTTTTCATTTTGGTGTCCCCAGAGGACAAAAACACCATTCGTTCAAATTTTTATATATGTATATATATATATATATATATAGGTATATATATAGATTTATGTATATATGTGTCCGTGAACACGATAACTTGAGTAATTTTTATCCGATTTTGATGAAATTTGGTTTGAAGGTGTAAGGCGGGATAAACTTGAATGAGTTCGCGATCCAGCATGATCGGACCATGGGAACAGGGTTTTATGGGGTAAAAATTGGTTTTTCTCACTTTTGACCCCCAAAACACAAAATTTCCCAATTTTTCTCTAAACCTTCTTAAAGAGCTTAAAAAACAAACAATTCAGTATATCAAAGTGTTTTTGTACGGTTATTAGTTACGGAGAAAACTAAAAAAATTGTAAATTTAAAATTACCATGTTATTCTTATGGAGAATATTGTAAAATGTTGTAGTTTGCTTGTTTATGGATATCTTTTGATCAAACTTCGCAAATATATTCATTTTCTACTAAGCAATAATTATTTTACTTAAAACACACACTTTATTAGTTTCCTTGTAGCAGCAAACCTAGGTACTCGTTAAACCTAATGTTATTTAAATAGATCGATTGAAAATTAATTCAGCCAAATGGAAATTCGCTTAGACGGCAGGTTTGCTGCGGCGGGGGTATTTTAAATTTATGACTGCAGCCAAAATGCATGTAATAAGTTTGTTCTCAATGGAAATAAATAAATTCATTTATTTTGCAACCAAAAGGTGAGTGAGCGTAGCGAACAAACTTCAACCTGGAAGCGAGTTAGCGCAGCGAACGAGCTAACCTGAAGGCAAGTGAGCGGAGCGAACGAGCTCCAACCTAAAGGTGAATGAGCGTAGCGAACGTACTTCAACCAGGACAAGATTTAGCCATGCGAACGAGCTCACTAGTGAAGTTAAGCGGGGCAAAGCCCGCGGGTACAGCTAGTAGATCATAAACATAAACAAATGAAGTAACTGAAAGAATCATATACTAATGAAATTACATTAACATATGGTTTGAGAGCTACATTTAAGTAATGTAAAATAATGTTTACATTCGGGCTAGTAACATCAAATATTATTTTAAATTTATAATCCTTACCCTCTCTGTTCTAATATCCGTGCATCCTACTAATATTATAAATGAGAAAGTTTGGATGTATGGATGTATGTTTGTGACAAGTGAACGCGAAAAATACTGGTCGGATTGGGCTGAAATTTGGCATGATGATAGCTCACATTCCCGATTAACATATAGGCATATTCTTATTTCAAAAATCCTTTTGGGCTCCGCCCCAGTGGCTCTAGAGTTTCCCATGTTAACCTTATGAGAAATGGAATTATTGAATCTTAACAGCTGTTTAAATTAAACAAGTTGTTTCTGTTCTATGATGTTCAATAGCATTAAAGTTACAAGGATTACCAACAGGGTGCAGCACTATTATTTCTTTTACATTTATGACAACAGCTAATTTGCAACCAAAAGGTGAGTGAGCGTAGCGAACGAACTTCAACCTGGAGGCGAGTTAGCGTAGCGAACGAGCTAACCTGAAGGCAAGTGAGCGCAGCGAACGAGCTCCAACTTAAGCCTAAAGGTGAGTGAGCGTAGCGAACAAACTTCAACCAGGACGTGATTGAGCCATGCGAACGAGATAATCTTGAAAATTAAGAAGTTAAACGGGGCAAAGCCCGCGGGTTACAGCTAGTTATTTAATATGTTTGAATCAGCTGTGTGGAATCGTGAAATCAAAATTCATTTGACAGTTAGTTCTGGTTGTTTACATTTTTAAATTTTGTAGGTTTGCTCTTGTTACCATGGATACCATCAATCAATATTTTAACATCTCTCACCTCAAATTTTTGAAAGACCACAGGGCAGAGCCAATAACGAAGAGGGAATAGTTGTATAATATGTATCCTCGGAGCTGTAGCTTCATTTGCGTGCAATTTGAGCCCAGTCGGTTCAGTACTTTTTGAGATTATCTCATACAAACACACACACACAGACACCACCTCTTCTTTATAATAGTATAGATAGATAGATAGATTACTATTATAGTATTATATATTGTCTGTGCTATGGCTAAAATACGTTTTTATTACTGCATCAGCTCTCTGAATATCTGCTTCAACCATTTGTTGTCAAACATTGATCTCGTAAAATAGTGAATTTATTTTTCATATGCACTAATAGAGCAAGGTTTGTACTAAAAGAAAACCTTCTTTTAGTTTAAAAAATACATGTTTCACAGGAAACATTTTTAACCATTGTAGTAACACCATTATAGTTTAAAAAGTTGATAAGTGATAGTTCACATAATATTTAGCACAATGGACGGATAAACCTTTTTTGAATTCGTCATATTATAAGTGTATGAAAATTCATATATCTGTGTATCAATATCTACTTATCTCATTTCTGTTCAATGGAAGTTATACAATTTCAATGATACCGGTACTTAAATGGGAAGTCTTACAGCTGTTATAAAACTGTGCATACATTTTATCTTACGAGTAAATTTGCTACCAATAATTGATATAGTATGACAATTCTATTCTACTGCAGTACTTAGAATTCTACCACTACTCACATTAAACCTACCATATTTACTTTTGGGCTAGTGATTAATTTATTGTATTAATCATACAATATAGTGAATAGTGTAGTCATTTATTTATTTCGTATCTATGACATAGCTCTATTTTGTAGAAATTAATTATGCAATCATATCAACAGAAATACTGCATCATTACATTTTACGGTGACATAGTATTTATTTTACAAATAAAAAATTTAAGCTATGCAATAATTAGTTCAATTAGAACAGAACCATTGAATATTGAATAATTTAAACATTAATCGAAGACGAAGCGGTTGACAACTTTCAAACTGTTGACTAGGCCTAGTTGCCTTCAATAATTGCAATGCGAACTGTATGCACTGAGGTCGGCAAACAGTGTTCACAGTGTGCAGGCACTTTGGACGTCGTGGCACTTGGACGTCGTGCAACAGTCAAATATTGATTGGACGTCGTGGCACTTGGACGTTGTGCAACTGGTAGAGGCTTTGGACGTGGTGCAAATGATACTTCTTTACAATTCTACAGTGTGCTGTTTCACGACGTCCAAAGCTTGTAGAAAGACTATATTTTTGTCAGTTACTGTACTTTTGGACGTCGTGCAACAACTCAAAAATTATGTTTTGGACGTCGTGGCACTGAATAAATATTATTGGACGTCGTGGCACTTGGACGTCGTGCAACACTCCCTGTCATAAGAAGAGTTTGAACACTGACGAATGAAGAAACAGCATTCACAGCACATTACTCAATCTTTGCATCACACATTAAATACGGAATCACTAGCATCGGCAACCAACATCATGCCTAAAAGGAATTTCGTCACATTATGGATATATAGATGTAAGTTACTGGTAGACTTAGTTGGGTGTAGGCCTAGTTCTTATTTAGGCATGTCAGGGTAGTTGGCCGTGCTTTATGCGAATTTGTGACTGCATTTAATCCTTTGAAGGTATAGGTTAGATTAAGAAGGTAAAGTTTAATAATGAATCAAGTTGTTAGTTTATGTCGCCTGCACACTGTTTTTGTAAAATTCAAATCCTGAGAAAAACACTTCAAATTAACCTACTACTGTATTTCAAAAATGCAAGCGACTTTAAAAGGCCGTAGTTTCGTTAATATTGGTGAGCACGGAGAAATAATACACTATTATTTTCAGCTAAAATCTAGTTTCTGGTGATATGTGAATCTAGGTTCCCAAGGTCACATTTATCACAATAATTACTCTAGAGATTTACCTGAAAACAATGGTGCGTGCAAAATATTTACTGCTGTCACAAAGGCACATTGCTGATGTGTGAGTAAGTTAGAATGTTCATTCAAGCTTAGGCTATATTTATATACTTATAACTAGGCTAACATACATTTAACGCAAAAATACTGATAGTCCCTGTTCTAAATTAGTCCTTGTCTATGGTCTTAGTAGCTCAGGAGTAAGTTATCTTAGACCTAGATCTTAGGCCTAGGCTATTATAAAACTAGGCTATGTAACTCTAGATCAAGTTAGAGGTAGTCTTCTAAAAACTACACACAAGATGGGGCTAGGGCCTATGAAGAATATACTTAGGCGGGTTTAATTATATTTTTTATTTATATGTTAAATGATATGTTGAATACATTTTTAACAATATAAATTCAATGCGAAACGAAGAAATGAGTTATTTGATAAAATTCAGTCCAGAATCAGAAAAACATGGCTGCTAATGCCTAGCAAAGTTGAGGTTAGCTACCGGTGTTACGCATATCTTTTGAACCCTTAATTGGACTGATTTCTATGTTAAAACTAATTATTTGTTACAGCAAATGATCCTTACCTCAGGGATCAGAACTTCAAGGGTTTCAAATTCGCCCGAAGAACTTCTATTTGGGTTCGAATGAAAGACGAACGTTTTAACTTGCTCTGGAACACCATCGGTCATTGGATCAACTCAGTGAGCACAACATTCAGAGACAAAAAATACATTTTCCAGACTAGAAACCTTACACAGCCTTCAGCAGTTGTATTCTATCAAGATACAGTATACAAGATTATGTAAAAATTACGGTTCAAAATGTATTGTAACTTGAGTGATTTTCCCATAATAACTCATAAAGTATTTTATTGCCTGTTATTGATGGCCTGTTATTTTTAACATGTTATTTATTTCCTATATTTATCAGTGGTGGCGATAAGATCCCGTGGCCCCCGCAAGTTTGTTCGCCGGGGCCACCTCTCAAAATATGGGGTATTTTGGGGGCAGCCCTAAATTTTCAAATGTTCCTATCATGTGACCCCTCATTTAAGGTTTATCAAGAAAAATTGAATGGTGCAAACCAGAAGTCAATATCGCACCCCTAATCAAAATGGTAGCCATTTTAATTATTTAAATATGAGCAAGCAAGATAAAGTCAGTTTATCAGTTTGGATTCGTCAAAGGTGGTTCTACTGTCAATGCTATTTTTTTCGATCATCGACAGGGTTGTAAATGCATTGGACAGGGGTGAAGCTGCCTCTGGAGTCTTCTTCGATTTGCGAAAGGCCTTTAACTTTGACATGGTTTCGCACGATCTTTTGCTTGAAAAACTTGACATCATTGGAATACGAGGTGTGGCTAATCAGTGGCTGTCTTCTTGTCTTAGGGGACGGACACAAGCCGTCCAATTGCCATTTGTTGACAAAAACATTCTAAGAAAGTGTTATTCAGACGTTTTGCTGGTCAATGCGGGGGTGCCTCAGGGTTCAATATTGGGGCCTATTTTATTCATCTTATACATAAATGACATCAGAAATAGTGTATCAGATGCCCATTTGTGGTTGTTTGCCGATGACACGTCAATTGTTCTTATGATAAAACCACCCACGGTTCCATGGAAGTATCTACTTTTCTTGAGTCTAACAACGTTGTCCAATGGTTTCTTGACAATGGTCTTGTCATAAATAATGGCAAGACCACTTTGGTGGACTTCAGCATATCGTCAAGACATCGCACTGATTTCAGTGTTTGGATTGACGACACTATTGTATCTTCGAAGACCAATTTGAAATTTTTAGGGCTTCACATTGACGAAAACCTAAAGTTCTTATGTCAAACTGACAACGTGTTGACCGAAAGGTTAATCTGGAATCTTCGTGTTACGTCACCTTGCTCCTTTCACAGATAAAACAGTTCTTCTATGCTTACTATGCGGTGGTTTTCGCCTATTTGTCATACGCCGTCACTATCTGGGGATCTGAGACACAACAAAGCACAAATTTGCGCTTCAAAAGGAGGCTGTACGGGTCATTGCTGGCATTTGCCAGAGAGGGTCTTGTAGATCAGCTTTCGTCAAATTAAGACTTCTTACTTTTCCCTGCATTTACATTTTCAATACCTCCCCAGATAGCACGTAAGCTTGATTCAAGACTTGAATTACGCTTGCTTTTACTTGAAATGACAGCTTTGAATTGTCACTTTAGATTCAAACTCGAGTCAAATGTCAACTTCTTGTAACACACTTGAATTACGCTTACAGTGGATTGAATTAACAGCTTTGAAATGTCACATTAGATTCAAACTGGATTCGAGTATACACAACACACTACTATTACGCTTGCACTTGCTTGTATTAACAGCTTTGAAATATCACATTAGATTCGAATCCGAGTCGAGTGTAATATTACCCACAATGCACTTCCATTACGCTTACGTTGGTTTGAAATTACAGCTTTTAAGTATCACGTTGGATTCGAATTGGAGTCGAGTGTAAGTTACCCATAATTCCGAGCGGGAACGACGCTAACGGTGGGACCGACACTTGAAGACGCCATCGGCCATATTGCTTTGTTTTGTTTATTGTGTATTTGTGAGTGATTCATTCTCAATCTCTCTCATTGAGTTGAGAATATCGATATTCATGATGGAAGGAAAAAACATAGGTGTGCTATTCCCACAAATTCTGACGTCACTCGGATTGCAAACAAAAGATCACCTGATTGTAACTGTGAAATTAGTATGCATTTGTTTTGATTTGATTGTTATTGTTTTTATAATAATAAAAACAATAACAACCAAATCAAAACAAATACATATACTAATTTGACAGTTACAATCAGGTGATCTTTTGTTTGCAATCCGAGTGACGTCAGAATTTGTGGGAATAGCACACCTATGTTTTTTCCTTCCACCATGATCGATATTGTGGTGCTGAGTTGTTCAAGTTATTATATTATATTGTTAAAGCTGATTTTTTTATTAAGTTTCATCTAGGCCTATTTCTTCTTATCCATCAAGGTAAGTTCTTATTAGCACAAACTAAGTAAACTCAAGGATTGTGTCTAACAAAATCAAATCGTCTTAAGTTAATTACAAGAATAGCCTAGGAAGAAATTAAGTAAACTATAAATCAGTGAAAATTTTGAAAGAGCCAAGTAAGTTATTGCCTAAAGCCAGCCACTTTTGAGTTGGTAAGCCTACGTGCAATGAGTAGCCTAGCCTAAAAAATAAATGTTGTCAACTTATCGGCCTTACTTTGAGTTGTTTGTATGCATAAAAACATATTTTTTTACCAGCTTGGATATCAAGTTCTCCATGTAAGATACTTAGGTATTGTGGTACTGGTATGGTCTAACTTAGGCCTAGGCATTGTCTTCACTATTCATAGTATAGACTATGGTAGGTTATAGCCTAGATTAGCCATAATGAGCCTAAGTTACGTTGTAGACTATTCTATAAAGCTGGGTTTTTCTAGGCGGGGAGAGAGTAGCGTGGAGAGTGAACTCCTCTTGTCTTAAATAGTTTAATGTTACCGGTACTGTTTTCCTAGGAAGCAGAGCGGAATGCCATGTTAATCGATTTTCCGCTCTCTGCGCTTCTCTTCCGCGTCTAGTAAAACCCGGCTTTAGACTTAACTTAATGCTTAGTCTAACTCTGCTTCTCTGACTTAATTTAATCAATATTTTGTAAATTCTGTAGAGGAACTCATAGGGGGTTGTAGCACATCCCTAACACCAAGTACTAGTACCGATAATGCAGTGGCGGATCTAGAGCAGTCACAAGGGGGGGGCGAACCAGGGAGTCAGGGGCGGTTCGGGGGTACCCCTCCGAAAAATGTGTGTAAACTAAGTCTCCTAAATCACAGTTTTTTACCATTTCTTTGTCCAAAGTTAGTGTGACAAATTATTTTACGCAATTTGTATGCACTACTGTATTACATGCAGTAAAAAATATATGTATATGTATGCCCGAGGGGGGGGCGGTCGCCCCCCTCGCCCCCCCTCTGGATCCGCCACTGCGATAATGTAGAAAATAGTCTTAAATCAGTCCCAATTGTACCTTTTAACTTTTCTTGGAGGCCTGTGACGCCAACTGCTATCATTAACATTGTGCATAGCTTTAAACTGTCAAAGAGTAAAGATTGTTTTGACATGACGATTGAACTGCTTAAGGGTATAATTAATGTAATTGCTTCTCCCATGGCTACCATCATAAACACCTGTTTGTATGAGGGGGTATTTCCTGACGCCTTGAAAATCTCCAGAGTGGTACCAGTTTTTAAAAAGGGATCTCATGATAACTTGTCTAGTTATAGACCTATAGCTATAATTCCCATTCTGGCAAAGGTGTTTGAGGCTGTTATGCTGGAACAACTGTATGAGTACTTTGAAGTGCATCACCTGCTTGTGCCTGGGCAGTACGGCTTTAGGAAGGGCAGATCCACTGTTTCGGCAGTGGACTCCCTTCTTCAGGTAGTGCTTGATTGCTTTGAAACCAAACAAAACACTTCTGTCTTGCTCTGTGATCTTTCACGAGCTTTTGACTGTGTCTCTCACCAAATTCTTCTTATGAAACTTGAAAGATATGGCCTGCAGAGTGGTGCACTCGACGTACTCAGATCTTACCTTAGCAATAGACAGCAGATAGTATGTTGGAATGGTAGAAATTCCACCCCTTTGGCAGTAAATCATGGTGTCCCTCAGGGCTCCATATTGGGCCCTTTCTTGTTTTTGGTGGCCATTAATGACCTCTACTATGAAGTGTCAGGTAACGTTATTATTTATGCAGATGACACTACCTTGTTTGCCAAAGATCCTGACTTGAAGCTCTCAAAAACCAAAGTTGAGGGTTTTCTTTCTACTGCTACTGCCTGGTTCAATGTTAACAAACTGATCCTCAATGAATCCAAGACTCAGGCAATCACCTTTAGCTTGGGAAAGTCTGCTGAGTGCACTGACCATGTAAAGCTGCTGGGCTTTACTCTGGACCCTCACCTTGACTGGGGAGATCATATTGAGTCGCTGTGCTGTAGGCTTAACAGGGTTATATTTTTATTGAGAAGACTGAGTTTTTACCTGCCAAAAGATTTTATTCGTGTTGCTTACTTTGCTTTTTTTCACTCTATTATTGTCTACGGAACGAGACTCTGGGGTCACTCGCCTAAAGTCAACAAAATTCTGGTTCTGCAAAAGAAAGCGATGAGGGTACTTAGTGGAGCCCAGGATCTCGCGCACTCCAAACCACTGTTTCTCCAAAACAAAGTCATGACTGTATATAATGTATATATTTTTCAATGTCTCCTAGAAATTAAGTCCAATGAAATATACCTACCTAGAAATCAGCATGTACATAGCCATAACACTAGAAATAGGTTTGATATTTTCACTGTAAGGCACAGACTGAGTAAATCAATTAATTGTTTTCCTGTTACAGGTTGCAAGTATTTTAACCATCTGCCTCTTGAAGTGAGGCGTTTGCCTTTACAAAAATTCAAAGCCTTTCTAAATAATTGGCTCCTAGAAACACCTTTATTTGACTCTAGTGAGTTTCTTAAGACAGAGGTCCACCTGTAATTAGGTAATGCATGGTGTGTGCTTTTTTTTTTAACTGCTTTTTGATTTTATTTTCTCCAAATGTGCATGGTTTTAATCTGATTTATTTAACTTTTTATTTTGTATGCTATTTGACTTAAACTAAGCATG